GCCGTGTGCGACGACAGCCTGTCCCCGTCCCCGCGTCCCGGCCCCCTTGCTTCCGGGTGCGGCGGCCCAGGCTCAGGGTCACCTCGGGGCTCGGCGCGTGATGCCGAGAGATGTTCTCTGTGACCGCGGTGACCCTCCGGCGTGTCTGTCCTCAGCGAGCTGGGAATCGAGCTACATAGGGGGGAAGGATCGAGCGGGCGAGGTTTGGGGAGGTCTAGACTACGGGGAACCTAGAGTTTCAAGAACCGCCCCCCCACCACACCCTTCTAACGGCAACGTGCACTTGCTGCCCTCTTGATCCCAAGATCGAGTTTTCCACCCATAACTGTTCGAACCCCGTCGATACATCCGCTGCTCATGTCGTCCTCAATACTAGGTGGTTCGGAGGAAGCGTTTTTCGCATCCGAGGTGTAGAGCTGCTAGGTCTTGCTCACTAGGCCCAGCGACACGGTCCCCTCATTGTGTGGAACCGGAGTCGCGCCTCGTGGGAGGAAAATGCCACCAAGATGCCCGGGAAGTGAGTTATGACGTGGGGCGGGAGCGTTAGGAGCCTCCTGTCGCGGAACACTGAAGTCCCACGGCTGGCACTGCCGGCAGCTGAAAGCGGACTGGCTTCTGGTGGCCTTTACTACCAGGTTGGTGGGGCGGGGCGCGGTCCTTGGAAGGTTCCGTAGCCGCACACCAGGGACCAGGAGATGTGTGACTTTGCTCCCACAGTGGAACCGTCCCTGGTACGGCAGCTGCAATTGCAATCACGCCCTGGTCGAGCTGACACTACTCCGCTGTCATTTTCAAGTGCCATATGTTTTCCGCCTCGGCCAACCAGGCCGGCGAGTGGAGATGGTGTGTGCGTCCTTCGGCGCCCCGACGGTGGCGCTACATCCCCGCAGCGGCCCCCACCCCCGCCGCGGAATGCGGTGTTGCTTAGCTTTACTCTTTCCTAGATAGACGCAATCCAGTGGCTTCCGAGGGGCGTTTCTGTTCTTCTTTCTCCAAGTGTTCGAGTACTACCGATTTCGCTCTGAGCACAGCTCACAGCCTTTATCATGATCAGTAGGCCCTTCAGGACCCCCGCATCCCCTCTCCCCAGCCCTACACACACATCGCTACATCCCTGGCCGCCGCCGTTCACCTCTCCCATGCTCTCCACAGTCTTGCGTGTACTGCCGCTTTTCAAAGAAATTTATTTATTTTAATTAGTTTCAAGTATACAGCACATTGGTTAGTCATCTATTTAGTTGATCAAAGGATCCGCCCAATGGCTGCCTCCGGCCCCTGAACCTCCACCTAGCCATCGAATTAATGCTGACTGCATTCCCTAACCGTGCTCCCCATCCCCATGACTATCCATCAGCTACCGATTTGTACTTCTTTAGCTCTTCGCCCCATTCCCCCAGCCCCCCCAACCCTTCCCCTCTGTCCGTCACCAAACTGTCCACTACATTTGTGAGTGTTTAGGATTAGTTTGTTCTTTTTATCTCTTAGATCCCACATATAAGTTCCTATAGAGTTTCTCTTTCTCTGTCTGATTTAAATACCTTCTAGGTTCATCACAGCAACATCTTTTTCCATTCCCTTCCCTTGCATATGTAGGGGTCTCGTTTTCTTATCCTTTTAGCCCTCCATCCCTTGCTTGGAGCACTTAATTCTTTTCCATTTGAGGTACTTCTTGATGGGAGTGTAGTCGTTACCATTCTTTATTCCTGTTTTCAGATACATGTGTTTTCTTCTTAAAGGAGTCCCTCCAACATTTCTTGTAATACTGGCTTGGTGGCGATGAATTCCTTTAGCTTATTTGTGTCTAGGAAGCTCTCTATCTGCCCTTCCACTCTAAATGATAGCTCTGCTGGATAAATGATTCTTGGTCGTAGATCCTGGGTCTTCATCCTGTGGAATATTTTTTGCCAAGCCCTTCTGTCCTGCATAGATTCTGCTGAGAAATCAGCTGCCAGTCTTAGGGGTTTGCCCTTATATGGAATTATCTGTTTGTGTCTTGCTGCTTTTGATATTCTTTCTTCGTATTTAACCTTTGGCATTTTAGGTATGATGCGTCTTGGTGTGGGCCTCTTTGGATCCTTGATTTTTGGAATTCGCTGAGCTTCCTGGGGTTTTCTGCCCATTTCCTTCACCGGGATAGGGAAGTTTTCCATCATTATTTCTTCAAACGGCTGTTCGACATCTTGATTTTCTTCAGTTAGGCCGATCGGACAGATATTTGGACCCTTAATAGTGTCCCATATGCTCCTTAAGTTATTTTTATAGTCTTGCCATCTTTTCTCTTGCCATTCCGATTGAGTGTCCTTGGCTTTCCCATCCTCTAGGTAGGGCATTTGATCCTCTCCTTTATTCACTGCGTTTATTCCTTTGTCTATTCCATTTAATAGACTTCTCGTCTCACATAACGTGTTTTTCATTTCAACTGGTTCCCTTTTATAATTTCCATTTCCGTTTTTATGTTTTTTATCTCTTGGTCGAACTTCTCACTGAATTTGTCTACGCTTCCCAAAAGTTCACTGAGCATCTTTATGAGCAGTGTTTTGAACTCTGCATCTGTGAGATTACTTGAGTCCATTCTATCTGGTTCTCTGTTCTGTTCTCTCATACGGTTTCCGCTTCTTTGTCTTCACTTTGGCGGCCTTTCCGTGTCTGTTTCTATGTAGTGGGCAAAGCTCCTATGTCTCCCGGTCTCATTAGTGTGGATTTGTGAAGTCGGTGTCCAGTGGCACAGTCCTGAGAGGGGTTTGGCTGCAGGCCAAACTTAGCCCAAGCCTCTGCCCCTCTGGGGCCACCTGTTAAGATTCAGCCAGCACCCCAGAGATGCTGTGCTTACAGTTGCCTCCCGAGTGGCACTTGTGGCCATACTTGCCCTCGTTGCACAAGTGACAGAAACAACGTGTGGGTTTTTCCAGAAATCAAGTAAGTCTATCACGATTATGTCTATCACCTGGGGACTTGTATCACCGGGATGGGATCCGGGACCCATTAGCTAATCAGGATGGGATCCAGGACCCACTGGGTCCGCTATGAGAGGGAACCGAGCTAAGAGTCCATCGATCGAGTGACCTCCACACGCCACTCCTCTGATCGGTGGATCACAGTGAAGTTTGGGGTCCCCTGGAATTAGTGTCAGTTGGGAACGAGTCTACTTATAAGTCCACTTATTTCCTTTTCCCCAACGTAAGGCAATACGTCCCTTTGGGAACGACGGGGAGAAGTATTTATAGTGTATTTATATTTTGGGGGGAAGGGTGAGCGTAGCGGGGTCCTTTGTCAAAGTGCCCCAGTATCTCCTCCATTTGAGGGTTCCTGGGTCTGTACAACTGGCTCGAGTCTGGAAATTGACTAAGGGGCTCTGTGCTGTTATCATTCAAGTTCGACTTCTGTTCACTTGACCTAGAATCTTCCACGTGTACAGATCAAGTATGAAAATAGCCGCTACCTGTTTACTTCGCTTCTGCGAACACCGTGGCCCCCAAACGCCCGGCACCGTAGGTCTCTGTGTCTCAGCTTATTGCTCAGAGCTCACGGCTGCTTCGACTCTGCCGTCATTTACAGTAACCGCACACGTTGGTTCTCTCGGGCTGCCGTCACGGAGTAGCCCATAAGGGGTGGCCGAAACCCCAGAGACAGTTGTTTCACGGTTCTGGAGGTCAGAATTCAGAGATCCAGCCGTCGGCATGGTTACTTTCTTCTCAGGCCTCCCTCCTTTATCGGAGGAGGTTGTCTGCCTCAGGCGGTCTTTCCTCCGTGCGTGTCCATGTCTGCGTTTAAATTTCCTGTTTCCAAGGCCACCAGACATATGGGAATAGGGCCCACCCCGAAGCTGCCATTTCGACTACATGACCTTGTTCAAGGTCTTGGGTCTGAATGTGGTGACAGCCTTAGGTACCGGGTTAATGAATTTAACACATGCACTTAAGGGAGACGCAGTGGCGGGGCCCGTCACAGCACAGCAACCTCGTCTGTGTGTGGCTAACGCTGCCACGTGTCCCCTGACGCTCAGGACCCGATGAACCCCATCACGTCGCAGTTTCCCAATTCGGTGCCGGCCTTTCCCACTGTAAACCGTGTCCTGCGGGGAAGAGGGACCACGGGGCTCTGCCAGCGTGTCTGGGCGGCCCTCCCTAGGTCACGTCTCACAGTCACCGATAAGGGTGTGGCTTTTGGGCCTTCCTCGGTGGGGGTGAGCTCGTCTTAGAAGGTAAATAAATGCACAGTCACATCCTCATCGCTCCCGCTCCTTGAATCCTTTTCTCTAGAGTGTAACAGTGCCGTTCTGAAGGTCTAAGGTGCTTTGGGGTCCATGTTTCAGCCAAACAACCAGACGAACTTTCAGAGCCCCCTCTCCCCCGGGAGGGGCAACGGCAAATTCAAAATCTCTGCCCAGTGGTCCCATATCAAAACTTTAGTCCTGATGCTACTTTATGGTGTCCTCTACCGCTGTCCCCCAACGTGTAGATCTGGTCACGTACATACGCCCCAGAATTGCCTGGAGAACCTCGAAAAACCGTGCAGTTCTCTTGGAGTGTCACCCTCCTCCTCATGAGTCATATTTTGTACGGTGCGTTTCAGGGCCTGCAGGTATGAGAGTCGAGCTGCAGGCCCAGGGGTGAAGAAGGGTTCTGAAGCGGGGGCCTGAGGAGAATCAGGGGTGTCTCTCAAGGCAGCTGCCTCGGTGGAGGCCACTAGGGATTCCTCGGGCAAAGGAGGTTCGTGGTTCTCAGACACGGTGGAGTGGCAAAGCCGTCTCATTAGAACCTAGTTATTGAAATAAAAGCAAAGAAACCCTAGTTATCGGTGTCCTCCGGCTTCATCGAGATCGCCCCACATTCCCCCTTCCATTCTTCAGGACCCCAATACTTTGCAGTCCATAGTCTCCCTTTAACAGCAGCCACCCCGTGAGATTAGAACGCTCACTTTTGAGAATTCAGCCAGTTAGAGGATGAAACTCTGGGATTTGGTTTTCAGAAATCTCAGCTGTGTGGATACAAGGTATAGGGCTTGCCTTCCGACCAGACACGGAAGACATCCGGTCTTTATGGGGTGCTCGATCTGGGAGTTGGAATCTTTGATCTCGTCATCCCCACCCCCAGCCCCACCCATTTTGTCTAATTTGATGACAGGCAACCAGCCGATCTCTTTACAGTCACTAGTTTGACAAAAATGTTCTAAGGTACCAAATGCATGCTCACTGAGAACCTGGCCTCTTACACGTATTTGGTTAGAAATATCAAATGGTGATGATTCGCGTCTCTCCACTCCACATCGACTCATAGATATCGGCACTCTTTCTGCTACTGGACATAGCCGGCCTTCCAATCTGATCATGTGCAGACCCAATTCAAGAACCCCCAGAAAC